GGACTTGTGTCTCAATACAAGGCAATTGTGCAATTATAGTTATACTAGACTCCATTCTTTATTCATATATATATATACGCACACACATATGATTTAGTATTTAATAAATTTTTATTGATTATATATTATGACATGTATATTCAAGTTTGATAAGTATGTAAATCTTAGATGATTTATAGTGATTTGTTAAGTATAGTGAGTTAACAAATTGTTATACCTTATAAAATATATTATGTAAAATTAAAAACTTAGTGTTACACATAAATTTTTTTGTCTGGTACCATATGTATTTTTTTGTTAAGTATAATTATATTTAAAATATAAAATAAAATTATGATAAGTAATAAAGCTCCTTTTTAAAATTATTTAATATAACTTCATATGTCAATTCATCTTCAAAGAATCAAAGTCGTCGAGAATGCAGTAATTAAAACAAAGAAAAGAAAAATAAAATAATATATATATATATATATAAATAAATAAATAAAAAAGGTGTGGCGTGAACTTTCATTTCTAACGAAATGGAAATGTTGAGGGAAAATAAAGACAAGCAAGGATAAGAAATTTAAGAATAATGTTATGTTTAGGTGAGCAGAAATAAAATAAAAAGGAGAAAATGGATAACACTATACTTTTCTATTGGTTGGAGAAAATATAAAAAATAACTTTTTAAAACAAAAAATATTTTTTTTTCTTCTAATTATTATTTCAATTGAATATTTTTCTGTGACTTTTTTTCCTTGATTGAGACGTGAGACGAGTCAAAGAGTAGGATTCTGTTTTAAAAAATAATACTAATAAGAGTAGGATTCTGGAACATTCTAAACTGGATGGGCCCACTGAGAACGCATTTTCCAAGATGGAGACCTGATGATGAGGAGTGGAGTGCAGTCACACTTTTTAATATCAGCATTTTGGTTTGTACTATAAATATACTACTCATCCATCTTAGGATTTCAGCCAACATTCCTTCACATATTTTTAAAATACACTCTTAATTATTAATTAAAATTTATTTAAAATATAAATTACAATAAATTCATTGTATAAAATAAAAAATCTGAGAAAAATTATTGTTTAATAACTTTTAACTAATTAAAAATATAACTTAAAATATACATTAAAAGAGTGTTATCACAATATACAAGAAATAAGATGATGAAAGTAGGAAAAATAAATGAAAATAAGATAAATAAATAAATAAGAATAAGCGAAAAATAAAATGAAAATAATAATAATAAATATGTAAAGAAAAATAAATGAAAAAGATATATTCATTTTCTATTTCATTTATTCCCTACTATACACACTTTTTTATATTTAAAGTATAATAATATAATGCTTGTTTTATGCATAAGAATGACAAAAGAAAAAGTTGTACACATGAGTAAAATCAGTGACCGATAGTAAATGAAAATTTTAATAAGTTATTAATGAGAGAAGGACGAATAATAAGGAACTCATTACTCATACATATTTTGTAATTATTTAAATATCTATAATAAAAATATATTTTCTGTCAAAAAATTATATATATATATATATAATATTTTTTAGTATAAATATATGTGTAATTATATGTTTAAAAATAATTTTTGACTTGTATTTTTTTAAATTTTATATTTTAACAGTTATTCATAAATATCCACTAATATATTTAAATTTTGTATTTAATAATAGTAGACATTTGTGCGAGAAAAAAAGAATAAAAGATATAGGTAAAATTTGTACTTTCACTTGTCTTACATTATTGTCATCTTTACTTGTGAGACAATTTTGTAATAAAAAATATAGGTAAAATTGTTATAAATTTCTTTTACTAAGAATATAATTTTTTAAGATAATAAACTAAATATGGAAAATAAACATTAGACTACAAATTTTTGGGAAACTAAAATAACTTTTATATAAAAAAGATATACTATACAATCATTCATTCAATAATTTATATAATATTATTTATTGTGTTTGTTTACTTTTATCAATGATAAATGTAATAAATTATGTGATAGAGGGATAAACAAGAAAAAAAATATGTTGTATAGCTTATTGAACATCATTTTTCTCTTACAAAAATAATATATAAATTGTGATATTTGTTCTTATTTATGACTCAACTTAAAATAATTATAGAAAATTTGAATTAATCTCTCCTAAAGTCTTTTTAAATGACACACATCCTTAGCCTTCCTTTTAATTTTCATGTGAACACTAATCACCCTTATTTATTTATTCATATAAGTGATACTACAACTTCTTATATAAGATAATATCATTTGTCCATTATTAAGAAGGAATAAATTATTAATACAAGTGTCAACAATTAAATAAAATTTAATTGAATAAAATTTGATCGTTTACTCGATTTTAACTCCCAAGTTATATCCTAAATATCATGCATGTTATAATTTAAAAACTATACTAATTTCAAAGAATAAATTGAGAAATTATTATTTTCAAAATTGAAGAACAATGAAAATTTTCATAAAAAAATAGGATATTGCATATAATTAAAAAATGAAAGATAGATGTATATATGATAAACAAAATATGAATTGACTTTTTTTTTCCTTTCATTTTAATTAATGATGTTATTCTAAGGAGGTTAATGATTTTAAAAAAACTATAAGGGAGGTGTGTGTCATTTAAATAAATCTTAGGAGTAAGGCAAGTGTAATTTTCTCAATAATTATTTATTTTTTTTATAAGAGAGAGAGAGAGAATTGTGAGATGAATTAAATACCCAACTAGCATTGAAGTCAAAAATAATAAATGTTCTTGAATCCTTCGCACTTTAATGGAGTCCACTATAAGACATTTAAGAACTCAAAATGGGTTCTTTTCTAGGAGACGTTCTTAGCACTTTAGTTAACATATTTCCTTTTATTTTATATTGTTTTTCTCTACAATAATTTTTAGTAATTACTCTTTTCGTTCAATAATAAGGATCATCCTAAGTTGTTTTACATATATAAAAGAAAAATAATTAATAAATATATAAAATATAATAATAATTTTATAAAATAATTCTTACAATTCATTTTTTTTTTTGCTAGAAATGATACAACATAATAACTATTTTCTAAGAAATATTATGAGATATATAAATGAAGAGAAGGGATTCGTTTATTTTAGGAATTAATGAAATGAAGTATTAAATGATTTTCAAATTTTATAAAATATTGCAAACTTAATCTATGCATTCAAAGGTTAGATCATTGAAATTTGATGTAAAACATAAGTTATTAAACAAAAAAAATCTAAGTAAATTTACTCTTAAAATAAACGGATTCCTCTTCATAAATGAAACATAGGCAATTAATACTACATTAAAAAACTAACATAACATTTATTTTTAGAAATTATTTTTTCTTTAAACATAACACATATTAAAAAATAGATAAACTAATTTAATTCACCATCGTAATCAAAGATTACATTGGAAATGATAAAATTATAATATTGTCTCTTATTCTAATTAAGTCTCGCTTTAAATTAAATTGAGGTAATAAAAAAATTATTACTTTTCTTGATTTTAAGGGAATATGTTAATATATTTTCTATAATACTCTTTTTAAATGCTCTGTTTTCACATAATTCTTCAAATTAACTATCGTTAATTTCTTCTTTCACATTTAAAACTTTCAATGATCTCTCTAAATACTACCGATTATTTACTTATTATTAAAATATATGTAAAAATTAAAGGATATTGATCGGAGTTAGTCGATGCTATTGGTTGGAATATTACAAACTTTTTAAAAATAATTAAAGAATTCAAAGGTATAATTTAGAGAAAAAGAATCTTAGGACACGGATTAAGAATAAAAAATGAGAAATAAAAATGTTACCAATACGCTTCTCATTGTGATGTTTTATTTAAAAAAATATATTGATCATTATTAATTTCTTTAAAACATCTGTTAATGTTATTGTAATTTTTTTTTATAAGAATTTAAAAATATTCAAAAGATGAAAAAGAATAAAAAAAACATTATATTCAAACACTTAAAAAATTGTCTTATACTAACATCTATACCATATTAAAAATAAAGTGATTTTAATTTTTAAAAACAACGAGTGCAATCACATTAGTCTATGAAATTTAAAAAAATTAAAAATGTTTTATTATGATATTAAAAGTAATTTTTTTTTTATAGAAAACTATTTTAACAAGTTAGGTAGGATGTTTTAAATAACAAAACTCTTTTTTTTATAATTATTTGAAGTAATTATAAATTTAAGAATTAAATTCAAAACCATCAAATAAATTAAAATAATTTCGTAAAAAAAGTAAAGAGACTAGATACTTCAATTATAATATGAATAAAAAATTGAAAGAGTACTTATTATAATATCAATAAAAAAAATTGGATAAAATTGTGTTTAATCAAAATAAGTTTAAAATATATTTACAATTTTTATAATAAAAATAAATTTATAATAAAATTGAATATATTAAATATAAAAGTGATCAAAATTTAGAATAAAATTCTCAACATAATCTAAAAAGTTTGAAAAGTTTTACTGTTTTGAGTCTTTTGACACATTTACAATTTGCCTTTCTTTAAATGTAAACACGTGTGTAAAATCCTGGTGAGAAGTGTTGTGCTCCAAACATAACACGAGACCAACGGAGTTGCAGTCCAATCGTGTTAATTCACAATTACTATATATATTCATATACCATGTTTATATCTTCTTTTGACTTTCCAGTTTCTACGTCTCGACAAAGATACCAAAACCAAACGAAACCTCAAAAAAAAAATAAAAAAATCTAACGTTTTATTAATTTTACCTCACTAATTAGTATTTAGTCAGTTTCTAAAACTACCATAAAATTCACCGTTTCGATCCTAATATCTAACAAGCTTATCCTGTATTATTATTATCTCAATAATAATGATGTAATATTATTAATAATAAAAGAATTTCTATTTGTAACTTTTCACATACTGAAGACACCCCCGTGGCACTGTTCAGACTCACTTTTCAGTTCTAAAATATCCACTTCATGGCATATATATTCTCATGTGTGTTCTGTTTCTGTCTTTGTTCATTTTGCCTTTGTTGAGACAAGTCAAGGACCAGGTAAATTGACCTCTTGATGTTGCATTGACTACTCTTTCTCTTATTTCCTTTCGAATTATATCTTTCACTCACGTAAAGAAGCTTTCTTTCGTCTTTATTATTTCCTATTCTGGGACGATCAAAGGAAAAGCGGTGCTTGAGAAGCTAAATTTGGTTTTCTTGCAGTGCAATTTTCTATACTCTAACCAAATGAGGACTAATCTTAGGTTCTTTGGATCAGTTTGATGCTTTTCAGGTAAATGTCTGCCTTTTCTTTTCTTTCTTTCTTGCTATTTGGGTCTTGCGGATTCTAAAATTGACATTGCCATTGGGGGTGCTTATTTGGTGAGAAAATGTTATACTCAAGGTAAAAGGATTTTTGCATGTGCAAGAAATAATCTAACGAAACTATTTATGGCTCTTGCCTAGGATGCACGCCAGAGCACTGAGTGGAGAGTTGTAGCATTAGTTGATCAGTCGAAGAGTGGATTTGATCAACTCTATGTTACACACTCATAAACCGGTTGATTTTGTGATTTTAAGCTGATGATTTTCATATCAATTGTTAATTTGTTATCATTCTTAATTTTCTCTCTAAAATGGTAGCAAATTCAATATAGTAGTGGTTTGGTTCCATGTTTAGACTCACGCAAGAAATTTGGAAACGAGAAACTGCTAGTTTTGTTATCATTCCTAGTTTTTCCTCTAAAATGGTGGCAAATTCAATATAGTGGTTGTTTGGTTCCAAGTCAATCAGGTAAAAGGTGTGGAAACAAGAAACTACTACTAGGAGTAGCTTTTGCCTTCATTGGGAAAATTGGATGAGTCTATCCAGCCATGATGTTGTTCTCAACACAGGCATAATAATGATACACATTGCTGAAGCTAGCTGGCCGTACTTGGTATTCCAGGATGTGCGGCATGTAGGACAGTGTGTACATTTGGTTTACTGAGATTTAAAAGAGAGAAAAGAAAAGCGTTACACAAAAAAATAAAACACACACGCACATGCACGTGTATATCGGCGTAATAATTAAGAAAGGATCCAAATTCCATAATGCCATTGCTTAGATTTTGTGCCTTTTCCATATATGATATGCAGAAAGACAAATTTCAAAAATGTTTTGTAAAAGGATGGTTTAGTAGTCTTTTATATATTGTGCTAATTTGAAATTTCTCAGTTGACTATGTTATTTGTTGGTTGAATTTATTTTTCTTTTCCTAAAAGTCCTTTTTATGTTTTAATTATTTACTAGGAAGAATTTGCGTAAAAATGTGTACTGAGGTTTGAGAGTTACTCCTTATGTAAGTAAACTTTATTAATGTATATAGTTGCTAAACTGATATAAGCAATAAAATTGATTTTATAACATAGAAATGTGAGTCAGCATGCTTCTGTACATGGTAAGTTTGATTGGCTGTTAGCCTGTAATGTTCCTAACCGTTCGCAATCATAACGCATCCTCAATCACAAGGTTCATATGAATAGACAAGGAGAAAATGCGTGAAAAGCTAGTAATCAGTAACCGGTTAGATGTTCACGAGATTAGCTGCTAGAGTTTGAGTTCAATTTCAGTCTAGGTATAACCGTGCCGCTGTGTGTTACCTTATATGTGTTTTGATATCCATTGGACATTTTGTTTTAAGTTCCTGATTCAGTGTTTCTGATTGAATTGAACTTTGGTTGCGTAGAATTGGATGGTTCAAAGATCAAGTAGATCATGAGATTAGCTACAAAAAGTTGAGTTAAATTCGAGGTACATATGTATGCGCTTTTTTATATGCTTGTTAATTTTCTTTTTTACTTCAGATAGATTTTTTTTAGTTTTGTGATTCTGAGTTTCCAATCAAGTATGCCTGCAATTGCACATATTGCAGACTTGGATGATTTGAAGATCTAATACAGGAGCCATTATACCCTTAATTAGATTCTCTGCAATTTTCTTCCTTTCTCTGAAGAGAGTTCTATTTGTTTTATTTAGAGAATTTTGAACTTAAAAAGAAATTTTCTAGGTAATAGGATCACAATCATAATATACATTTATGGTGTAATTTGTGCTTTTCTTTTCCTCTCATAGTCTAGATAGTGTAATACAATTTGAAAAAGTATTATCTGGAACTACTTGCAGAAGTGGAGCTAGAATATTGGAGGAGAGATTACAAATAAATTAAAGACAGGTTGGAATTTATTGGGGTATTTTGTAATTAATAAAAAAAAAATTTGGCTTTGATTTGCAATCTCCCCACACTCCATGAGTAGTTCTGTCTCTAACTACTTGATTCTTATAACCAGTGTCTAGAAATTAAGTTGAGTTTTCTCTTTCTTTTGTGATATATAATTGGTTGGTAATTACTGAATGAGATTGGGGAATGTATTAACTTTGCCTCTACCATGGTACATTTGCAATTTTGCATTGTATACTACCCAGGCAGTTATGTGCATTCATAACATTCATTTGCAAATTGTGTTCATAAATACTATTTTTGTAGTTTTCAATTATATAATCACTTGTTGGACTTTTGATTTCAACTATTTATAAAGTTAAACGTGATAAATGACAAATAATAATTGGAAAATGCTTATCTGATTATGTGAGCAGCTTTCATTTGTCAGCTGACTTCATGTTCATACAAGTAATATTCATTTATTAGTAAATTTTAACAATTTTTGTTGGAAAATTTACTAACAGAGAGTGATTATCTATCTACATTTAAATAACCAAATAATTGTATGCGAAGATTTTATTTGAGTTATTTACCTGCGTCTTATGCTGCTGCTTCAGTCTTGCATATTAGAATTATAGCTATCTCTTTTTCATCTTCACAGGTTCCTGCTTTTCCTTGGTTCATTCAAGAATTCGCAGTTCTGAATTTCGGATCCTAATAACAGTTGACTTTCATAACTCTGTAATTCACATTTGGAACAAAGATGGTGGTCAGATCGTCCTCGAATTTGTCTGACCTGGTGACTGAGGACAGTTCAAATTCCCCTCATACTCCTGGAGCTCTTCCCCATCCCCTGATTGTTCCAGGAATCAAGTCTGATGTGGATGGCAAACCAAGGGACAATGATGATTTAAATGCTTGCTCATCAGAATTCCCTCAAAAGATCATTATAGTGGCAAATTTTCTTCCTCTTCATGCTCAAAAGGATGAAATATCTGGCAAATGGTGCTTCACTTATGATGAAGATTCAATCTTGTTTCCATTAAAGAATGGTCTCTCTTCTGACTTTGAGGTTCTTTATGTGGGATCTCTCAAGGTTGATGTTGAAACTGGTGAACAAGAGAAAGTTTCTCTTCAGCTGCTGGAGGAATTCAATTGCTTGCCTACCTTTCTTCCTTCAGAAATTCATGAACAATTTTATAGTGGATTCTGCAAGCAATATTTGTGGCCTCTGTTCCATTACATGTTGCCCTTGTATCCAGACTATAGCAATCGCTTTGACAGGTCACTGTGGCAGGCTTATGTTTCTGCAAACAAAATATTTGCTGATAAAGTCATGGAGGTTATTAATCCAGAACATGATTATGTGTGGGTTCATGATTATCATCTTATGGTTCTTGCAACATTTCTAAGGAAGAGGTACAGTTGGATCAAGCTAGGATTCTTCCTCCACAGTTCATTTCCTTCATCGGAAATTTATCGGACTTCACCTGTGAGGGATGAAATTTTGAAAGCACTGCTTAATGCAGATTTGATTGGTTTTCATACATTTGATTATGCTCGCCACTTTCTTTCTTGCTGCAGTCGAATTCTTGGCTTAAAATATGAATGCAAAAGGGGTTACATCAAGCTTGAATACTTTGGCCGTACAATATTCATTAAAATCTTGCCTATAGGGATTCATATGGGTAGACTTCAATCTGCATTGAGTCACCCTTCTTTTTCTGCTAATGTCAGAGAATTGTTGAAGTTCAAGGGGAAAAAACTTATTCTCGGAGTTGATGATATGGACATTTTTAAAGGTATCAGCCTAAAGCTCTTGGCCGTTGAACAACTCCTTCAGCAATATCCTGAACTGCAGGGTGAACTAATACTGGTCCAGATTGTAAATCCAGCAAGGAGTACCGGGAAGGATGTAGAGACAGCAAGGAATGAGATGCACATTACTGCCAATAGGATAAATGAAAGATTTGGCTTGCCAGATTATGAGCCTGTCATCATCATTAATCGTCATATTCCTATATATGAGAAGGCAGCCTACTATGCTTTAGCAGAATGCTGCATTGTGAATGCAGTGCGAGATGGTATGAATTTGGTTCCCTATGAGTACATTGTCTGTAGGCAGGGAAGTGCTAAAATGGATGAAGCTTTAGAAATTGGTTCTGAGTCCCCTCGGACAAGTGCACTTGTTGTTTCTGAGTTTATAGGTTGCTCTCCTTCTCTTAGTGGGGCAATCAGGGTAAACCCATGGGACATTAATGCTGTAGCTGATGCACTGAATTTGGCCATCACAATGTCCAGTGGAGAGAAACAGTTGCGCCATGATAAACACTATCGTTATGTTAGCTCTCATGACGTGGTTTACTGGGCTAAAAGTTTTGTGCAAGATCTTGAGAACTCGTGCAAGGATCACTACAGTAAAAATTGCTGGGGGATTGGCTTTGGCCTTAATTTCAGAGTTTTATCCCTTTCTCCTAGTTTCAGGAAGCTTAACAAAAGCCATACTATTTCTGCATATGAAAGGACAAATTGCAGGGCAATTTTTTTGGATTATGATGGTACCATTGTACCTCAAACTTCCATCACTAAAATTCCATGTCCTGAAATCATAGATGTTCTGAATAAGCTTTGCAGTGACCCTAAGAACACTGTGTTTATAGTAAGTGGCAGGGAGAAAACCACGCTGAGTGAATGGTTTGATCAGTGTGAGAATCTGGGTATAGCAGCTGAGCATGGTTATTTTCTAAAGTGAGTTTTTCTACCCCTTAATTTATAGTTGGTCATCTTCAATTCTGTTATAATATAATGGAAATACTCTGTTTAATTTCTATCAAGAATAAGAAGGGAGGGGGCAAAAGGAGGGAGAAGGAATAGATATTTTTCATACATTCATGATGCATATATCAAGTAGAGAAATGTTAAGCAATTCGCTCTATAACTTTCTCTTTTTAATATTTTATTGATTGAATTTTATAGGAAATTATAAAATTATGCTGTCAAAGAGGGTGTTGCTAGTACTCCTCTAAGAAATATTTGCATCTTATGTACTGATTTTATTTTCTTCATTTTATTGGAAAATCCTCCAAATTAATGATGTCTTGTTTTGTCTTTTGTCACAGATGGAGTCCACAGTCAACTTGGGAAAAGAATCATATAAGTACCAATTTTTCTGGGAAAGAAATTGTTGAACCTGTGATGAGAATGTATACTGAGGCAACAGATGGCTCTTATATAGAGACCAAAGAGAGTGCCTTGGTATGGCACTACTATAATGCTGATCCTGATTTTGGATCTTGGCAAGCCAAGGAGCTATTGGATCATCTTGAAAATTTGTTTGCAAATGAACCCTTTGTTGTAAAGAAGGGAAAGCATATTATTGAAGTCAAGTCAGAGGTACATATCTATCTCTTCATTTCTCAACATATGACTATTCTCATGTGTTTTAATATTGGTTAATCAACATTGCAGGGGATTACTAAAGGGCTAATTGTAGAGGACATCCTGTCCCAGATGACCAAGAAAGGGAAATCCCCAGATTTTGTACTGTGCATAGGGGATGATAGATCTGACGAGGATATGTTTGAGAGCTTACTAACCAAAGCTTACGGTGGAACCTCTTCTCCTGCACCAGAAATCTTTTCATGCACTGTTGGTCAGAAACCAAGTAAAGCTAAGTACTACTTAGATGATACTGAGGATGTGATGGGGTTGCTTCAAGCTCTTGGTGCCATTTCGGGCCCAAATCATCATTTCCTGAAGAATACTCTTCTGGAAAAACAGAAGAAGGTTGTTTCAACATAGATTGAAATGCAAACTTCACCTGTCTATTTTCAGTTTTTTTCTTTTTTTCTTCATAAACAGGCCTGCTTCAAGGGAGTAGTTTACAATGATTTTCGAGCTTTGATTAAACAGGAAACTGCGGCATTGAGATTCTCAGGAACCAGCACCAGGGGTTCGACTGTTAAAAGAGTTTTTGCTTTAGATTGTTAGGTGGCAGTAAATGAAATGTATATGCTGTCTTTTAGCAATACTTTTGATGTTGAAAAATATTTTTAGGTTCAGGTTCTGAATCCAGAGCCCTGCTGGATGAGATGAAAATACATTGTATAGTTAAACTTACATGCAAGGCCAATTACAATTTAAAATCATATGGACCATTTTTCGGGGACAAACTTTTTCATTTGAGAGGAAATGGGGATCGTGCTAACATGTGGCAATATTTTGTTTGATTCACTTTTTTTTAATAAATAAATAAATATATATAGCACCTGTACACAATAGTCTGACAATTTTATAAAAATATTTTTAATAAAATAATCAGTTTTTTTTAATGTTTATCTAAATTATTATTTTTTAAAACGACAGTTTTCTATTTTTTTTATAAATAATTTCAATCTGATTTTTTAAATTACTTTTTTTTAGATATATTTTTTTTTTAATTTTAAACAAACTAGCCTTATGAGAATAGGATATCAATATCGTACACCCAATTTTTCTTTTGGTAACCTCAGTCAAATTATTATGTGTAAATTAAAATTTGAAACATACATATTTTGTATGATGGTCGGTGATTTAAAAGTGCGATTTTATTTGGATAAACAAGTTGCATTAAAACGATTTTATTTGGATAAACAAGTTGCATTAAAAACTTATCAGATATGTATTTAATGTGTAGGATTCAAATATTGATTTTGGATATAAAATAAATTATGTTAGGAGAACAATATTTATATTGTGTACATTTATGTTCTTTGATGTTTTTTTTTTTTTTTTTTATAGAAATTAGTTACTGTTTTCAGAGAAATTTTTTAAGTATGAATCAAGAATAGAATCAATAGGTGATGTAGATTATAATTTTGAATTTGTAATTATATATTTATTCACTTTTTTTTGTTTTTGATGTTAAAACGAATTTTGAACATACTTTGTAATAATATTGTAATTATTTAAAATATATATTTATTATATAAACATTTAAGTATAATTTTTTTTATAATTAAATAAAATATAGGATTAAACCAATTTCGTACAAGTTAAAAATAATTCATGGATATATAAAAGATGGTTTATTGAAATAAGTTGAAAATAATTTATGGACATATTATAAATTATTTTCACAAATTCTTTCAATAATTTGTGCATAGCATGTGCAACTTCTTCTTTCCCTTCAAATTTTCTTCTACATTATATATATATATATATATAATAAAATAAATTATTATTAAAAATATTTAAAAGTCAATAAATATATTAAATTAACTAATACCACAATAATTAATAAAAATGTTATAAGTTTCACCTCTATAATTAAGAAAAAATTTATACTGTAAATGACAATTGCACAAAATAAATGAATAAATAAAATTGAATAAAAATAACTATAGATTTTATGTCAACAAATAAAAGAATTAACTTAAAAAAAATCACAAAAACAACTAAATTAAAATAATAAAAATCTATAACATTAATCAAATTAATTTCTTAAAGTATATTTGTTAAATCAAATTATTCTCAAAGTATATTTCTAAAAACTATTTTTTAAAAAAAATCATGTAAAATCTTTATATTATTTGTAAATATTTGATTGAAAAACTTACATTATGGACAATTTTATAATACAAGTAATTTAATTTGTGAATAAAATCCAAGATATTAATTTAAAAATAAAACTACTTTAAAATTTTTACAAAAAATAACAAATATTAATTTAAAACATATTTCTTTCAAAATTTACATTAAAAAATTAAATATTTTCATGTATATAAAGCATAAATCTTCTACAATATTTTTTCTCTCATAAAATCTCTCACCAAAACATTCAATATATTATATAAAATTAAAATTAAAATTATTATTATTATATAATAATAACACATTAATATATAAAATTGTAACAGAATCATAAAAAAATAATTTTATTAATTTTTACAGTTTTAAATTAATTATGAATAAAAAAAATCACAAAATTTGACTAAAACAAATTATTGTGTTAAACTTCATTTAAAATATTTATACCGATTATTAATATTAGATGGAATTTTTTATGTTGACAAATAAAACAATTAACTTTTAAAAAAAATCAACACAAACAATTAAATTAAAATAATCAAAATCTATAACATTAGTCAAATTAGTTTTTTAAAATATATTTGTTAAATAAAATTATTCTCTTACAGTATATTTTTTAAAACTATTCAGAAAAAATCAGGTAAAATATTTATATTAATTGTAAATATTTGACTGAAAAATTCACATTATAGATAATTTTTTAATATAAGTAATTTGTTTCATGAATAAAATAAAAAATTTATTTAAAAAATAAAAATTATTTAAAATTTTTACAAAAAATACAAAATATTAATTTAATACATATTATTACAGTTTTAAAGTAATTGTAAATGAAAAAAATCACATAATTTGATTAAAATATCTATACTAATTTAATATTTAAGTAAAATATTATACTAAGTATTAATATTTGATGGATTTTTTTTATTGAAAATAATGTTATGGATAATTTAAAAATAAAAGTAATTTAATTAATTAAAATAATTTCTAAAAAGTTAATATTTCAGGAAATTTTAAAATACAACTAATTTAATTTTTTCAACAAAAAATACAAAATATTGATTCAAAACATATTATATAAAAATCAACATATTATATAGAACTATTATTATTATTATTATTATTATATAAGATATTAATATCAAAATATGTAACAGCTATATAAAAGATTAACTTAATTAATTATTACAGTTTTTTATTGTTTAATTATTGCAGTTTTAAAATAATTGTCAATGAAAAAATCATATAATTTAATTAAAATTATTGTGTTAACTTCCTGTAAAATATTTATACTAATTATTAATATTTAATGGAAAAATATTAAAAAAATAATATTATGTATTGAGATATTACTTTTTCAAAAATTTTACCAAAGTTTTTTTTGATAAAACTCAGATAAATATAAAAATAAATTATTAATATAAAAAACTATAATAATGTGTCATAATAAATAACTAATTATAATAATTATTAATTATGAACAGTTTTTAGTTGATGCAAATAATTATGAACATTTTTAGATTAATATAAATTAAAAAAATCATTATTTTTTTCTACCAAATTTACGTAAATAAATTTTAATTTAATATTAATATTAAAAACTATAAAGATATAATAAAATATACAAAATTTTAATGATATTAATTATCAATTGTGTCTTTTAAAAGAAAATATGAATGTAAAAATATACGGACATTTTTATTAATAAAATTGTAAAAAGATATTTTTATATATGTGAAATTTTGATATTTTAGAATATATATATATATATATATATATATATATATAATGGAAAATTAATTATATCAATTAATAATTACTGAAGGTTTTAAAATAAATTAAAATTATAAAAAAAAATTACAAAAATTATGTTAATTTTTTTTTCAAAGTGATATTTATACAAACATTTATATTTAATTGCAACTAATTATATACATTAAATTTAAATGATAATCATTATGTCATTCAATTGAGTTATTAAAATTTATTATTTTTAATTTTATTAAAATCATTGTTAGACACCAATAATAGTGATTTTATATTCTAGAGATAAAAAATATACAGGATCAAAATTAAAATTTACACATTTTATAAAGACAAAAAATATATTGCAAAAAATAAAAATAATATTTACTAATGTTAAAAAAATAAAAATAGAGAAAAAAATTTCAGAAACCAACATTTAAACTCACTTATTTTATAGATGTAACAATCTGACAAGTCATTAATCTTACTACTAAATGACTACAACATAGCAGAATGGTAAACAACAAAAATTAGAATTAAAGTTTACAATACAACTAGGAATAAGTATCAATATCCATATGTGTAATATACAAAATACAACACCAGTTGCAATATAAACCTAATGTCGGTCAACATGTATACAACAAGCCGACTACATGACAGTAGCCCTCATCAACTCTACTAGCCACCTCAAATGTGACTATCCTCCAACCTAGTGTCATCACCTGGCTAATCTTGTCATGCTCTCATACTAAGTATGATCATCACAATTATAACCATAAGGAAAATACAAGATAAGCTAGTGAAAAAGAATCCAATATAATAACTTATGAAAACATCAGCCATTTACAACATTTCAACTTACAATCATACAACATCCTGCTCTCAACACCACTCACTAGGCACCTCGCGTCAGTGAGGTAGGGAGTTCTCTACCTCACCCATGCTTAATGTTTCTCAACCTGCTCTCGACGTGGCTAAGGTTGAGACCCCTAGGACTTCACACCTGACGTGGTAAAACACTGCGTCTAACCCCATCTTAGGCAGAGAGTCTCTACCTGAGTCCCACACAACATTGAACCTAGCATTACCAAGTCAAAGAGCTCTTAAGACATCCATGTCTGACGCCGTTCAACCATGTCCAACGTGATTCTAACCCGAGATGAGTCTTTCTTTTCACGCCCAGTACTACCAATCATGTGCCCAATGTGAGTGAGACAGAGACCTCCTATTAGAATTACGCCTGATGCCTTGAAGACCCGCCCGATGCAACATTAATTTTTGCACTTTTGTAGAGCCCAATTTTGCCAAATACCTAAAAATCATAATGTTTCCACAATATGCAATCCCCAATACAAAACATACAAAGCTTGTAAACATATTTACACCATAAAAACAACATGCAACTGAAAAATCAATCAAAGATTAACATGAACCCCCTTTGAACCACAAAACCCGTGAAAACCCCTTTTCAACTTCATCCTCAACTCAATCAAATGAGATTAACAACTCATTTGAAATCATCACAGCCACATAATGCACCATAAACTCAAAATCACTGCTTCTCTTACCTCTTGGAGATTTAAATCCGTAAGAAGAAAAGAAAAGGAACTCTGTACAGCACCGACTTAAGCCCTTCGCCTTCATAAGCTGATCAAATTCCAGCCTACACCCTACCCGGATTCACCTAAAGAGAAAGGTAGAAAAGGAATTCGATTAAGGAAAATGAGGAAGAAGAAAGAAAGGATCTCTCTCTAACTTTTTTCTAGAGTTCTTGAAAATTGAAGTTTATAAGCTTCCCTTTTGAAAATTTTCCTTTTATACCTTTCTCGAACTAACTCCCCTTATCTTTGGTCCAACCTTTCAAAGATCAACGTGCTCTTAGGGTCTTTCCACCCCAATGCTCTCAACAATAGCTGTCAAATCAAACAACAGAGTTATAAGATGATAATGTTACAATTTTCCCCAACAACATAAATTTTTGTCCCCGAAAATCAATTTACTTGGTAAGAGAAACGGATATTGAATCCTCATCTTGTCTTTCAACTCCCATGTAGCCTCACCTGTGGCCACATCCCAGACAACCTTGATAAGATGAATGGACTTGTCCCTCAACCGTTCTCTTTACGATCCATAACTACTACTGGTTGCTTCTCATAGGTTAGATTCTCCTTCACCTAAACAACATCATGCTCTACCACATGACTTGGGTCATGAATATACCTTCTTAATTGCAATACATGGAACATATCATGTAGGTTAGACAGAAATAGTGGTAAAGCTAGTTGATATGCCACCAAACCTATACGATGAAGGATTTGATAAGGCCCAATAAATCGTGACATCAATTTCTTGGACCTCATCGTCCTTCCTACCCCAGTAGTGGGTGTCACCCTCAAGAACACATGTTTTCCCTCTTCAAACTCTTGAGGCTTTTGCCTCTTATCAGCATATGATTTCTGCCTACTTTGGGCAGTTCTCATTCTCTCCTAAATCTACTTCACCTTCTCTGTGGTCTGCAAAATTAACTCTGACCCAACAACAATTGATTCACCTTTCTTATACTAGCACATAGGAGTTTTGCATTGTCTCCCCATACAATGCCTCAAAGGGAGCCATGCTAATACTTACATGAAAATTATTATTATATGTAAACTCCATCTGAGGCAATACCTCCTCCCAACTACCAAGACGATCCAAGACACAAGCTTTCAACAAGTCCTCAGGTGACTAGATTGTCCTCTCAGATTAACCATTTATTTGTAGGTGATAGACAAAACTTAACCTCAATCTTGTTCCCAAAGCTTTGTGTAAACTCTACCAAAATCTAGAAGTGAACCTAGTATCTTGATCAAAGATAATATTGGAAGGCACCCCATACAATCGTACTATCTCCTTAACATATAACTAAGTGAGGTTCTTCAAGGACCACCTCTTGTTGACAGAAAGAAAATGCGCACATTTAGTCAACCTATCAACAATCACCCAAATAGTATCACTGTTTATAGCTGACCTGGGCAACCCAACAATGAAGTCCATGGTGATGTTATCCCACTTCCATTCTAATATCTCTATTAACTGTTACAACCTTCTTTATTTATGGTGCTCAATCTTAGCCTTCAGAAAAGTTAGACATATCGTCACATATTTCGCTACATCTTTCTTCATAGCCACCAATAACTCTGCTTGATGTCTTGATACATTTTAGTCATACCAAGATGTATGCTAAGCTTGCTCCTATGAGCTTCCTCCCAAATTATTTTCCTCAACTCTGAATCCTAAGGTAGGCAAACTTGACCCCTAAACCTCAAAATCCCATCACTACCCAACTCAAAGCCAACTACCTTCTCTAAACCAATTAGTCCTAAGATATTAAACAATTCTTGATATTGCAACTGTTTCACACCAATTTGCCTTAAGAACTCATTAGCTATGATAATCAATTCATAACTAATGTGATCCAAAGCAAAGTTCAAGGTGAGATTCAAACCTCTAAATTACTCAATCAACTCCAACTCATCATTGATCATCAATGAAGAAACATGGATGGATCTTCTGCTTAATGCATTCACCAGTACATTAGCCTTTCCCGAGTAATACATCAACTGAAAATCTCAATCCTTTGTATTGCTTTATTTTACTTTTTATAATTGATTATGAATTTTTAGATAAATTGATTCAAAATCAAAACTAAATATTAAAAATATATTTGTTTGTTTTAATTATTAAAATATTTAAAATATATACATATTAACAATTTAACATCATTTCATTATTTATACTAAATATATTTTTTATTTTCATAAAATATGTAACTTTGAATTTTGAATTTGTTATTTGAGTTTCCATAATTCTTTTTATATATTTGTTTGCTTTCATCATTAACAAAAAATTAGTTATAAATTACTAACAATAATATTTATTTATAATTATCAGTAATATTATAACTTTGGTATAAAAAATTAATAATTGATTACATATTTTTTCCTACCAAATATTTTATGATGATGTTATAGTTTCATATATTAGTTGTTTTTGTGATTTATTTTAAATAGTTAATTCTTTTATTTGTTGACATAAAATCTATAGTTATTTTTTATTCAATTTTATTCATTTACTTTGTCCAACTTATTATTTAAATTATAATTTTTTTATTAATTATGAAGGTGAAACATATAACATTTTTTATCAATTATTATGATATTAATTATTTTGATATATTTATTTATTTTTAATTATTTTTAATATTAATTTATTTTAATATAATAATAATAATAATAATAATAATAATAATAATAATAATAATAATGTGGAAGGAGATTTTGAAGAAAGCAAGAAGTTGCATAACTTTTTTATTTTATATTATTAATAGATTAAATGTTTAGAACGATAAAAGTATTGAAGGTAAGATTTCTCAACTCCTTCCTTTTCTACAACAATCAAGAGTTACTACTAGGACATTTGACTTGTTTGTGTAAATTATTTGTATAATTAATGTATATAAATAACTACAATTAAATACAAACGTATGTATAAATATCACTCTTAAACAAAATTTTTTAAAGATAATTTTTTTGTAAAATTTGTATAATTTTAATTTTATTTTAAGTTCTTTAATAATTATTAATTAATATAATTAACATTTCATAATAATTGATTTTAATAAATTATGTGATTTTTTTTCATTTATAATTACTTTAAAACTGTAATAATTAAGCAATAAAAAGTAGTTAATTTTTTTATTTGTTAACCTAAAATTTATTTATTTTTATTCATTTATTTTGCCCAATTTATCATTAAAATTATAATTTTTTTTATTAATTATAAAAGTGAAATTTGCAATGTATTTATTAAATATTATGGTATTAATTATTTTGATATATTTATTTGTTTTTAATTATTTTTAATATCAATTTATTTTATAATAGAATATATATAGAAAGAGATTTGGAAGAAAGAAAGAAGTTGCATAACTTCTTGCTTTTATAATATTAATAAATTTATTAAATATTTTATTTAAATTATAAAAATTTATTATCTCACCTCATTACTAAAAACAACACACTCAATTAATGAGTTAAATCTTGAGTGTTTACAATTTATTGAAACTAAATGTAATTAATATTTTTTTTAAAAATTTAATATTAATTTATTATATGGAATTGATTTTATAATGTATTAAATTAGTATGTGTTTGATGCATATTAAGATACAACACAAGGATTAAGTGGATGAGGTGAATGGTTATAAATCATTTAATATTAGGTTCAATCTTGTTAAATCAAAAAATAAGACACAACATAAGGAGAATAAAATAGTACAAAACAAATGTTTAAGTTATTGAGCAACTTTTGTATCATATGTATGATTTAGTGTATAATGAATAACTCAAGGAAAAAATAATATAAAATTAATCAAACCATTTTTTTTAATATCAATTAACTTTATATAATTCATGTTAATTATTTTAATATAATAATATTGATGATGACGGAGACACTAATAATAATGATCGTGCACTAAAACTTGATAGCAGTGATTATAATAACAACAATAATAATAATTGTCATGACAACTTTAGTAATATAACGATGAATTAATAATAATGGTGATGATGTTATTGGTAATTATATAAACAAAGAAGGTAATGCGATGATAATGATGTTAGAGTTACAATGACGATGACAATAATGTAATAATAATATAGTAGCTAGTGATAACATTCAACAAATTAACAACAAATAAGTCATTGGTTTAGATGATGATGACTCAAATCTATAATACAATGTCTCATATTTGAGTGTTGTGGATAAAAAATGTAATGGAGTCTAAAAATTTATTGAGCAAATTCTCAATTGAAATTAAAATATAATAGAATTTTTTTAAAAAATATTTAAAAATAAACTGAAGGTGAAGGCTAGCAATGCTTTTTCAGCACAACATTATAATAGTTTGAATGAAAGTGCTTGTTAGCTAAGTAAAGTTGGAGGAGGAAGTCAAGCTCAAAACTCAAAACTCAAGTGTGAGAGAGAGAGGGAAGAAGAGCAAAATGCGATCGTCGTGTATTCGCAGCTTCACCGTCTTCGCGGTGTTCCTCATTGCGATCCTCCCCCACGTTCCGGTTACTTCTTCTCCATCAACCCCTTTTTTCTCCTTTATTCATTCTCTTACAATACATTTTGCAGGTACACGCAACAACTCCAACCTCCAAACTTCGCCTCTCTTCTCCCTTTTCAACAGCTCTCGAAACCCTACAGAAACAACTCCGCTACACTTTCAAGAGCGTCGATCTTAT